CCGCCGCCCCGCAGGTGGGGGCGCCGCGCGGGGCCCGGGGTGCCATGGAGGAGCCGCCGCCGCCGCCGCCCGCCTGATCCCCGAGGCCGCCGGCACCGAGACAAAGCGCGGGGCTGCGGCCGCGCCCGCCCGGTGAGTGCCGCGGGGGGCCCGGGAGGGAGGGGGGCTCCGTCTTGCGCCGCGGGCACCGGGCCGGGGGGAGGTCCCGATCGCGCAGCCGGCCCTGCCTGACACCCTCGAACATCCTCTTCCTCATTCGCACCCAGACACTCCCGTCTGCCGCTTCGCCAAGCTCAGCGCACCGCAAGCATCCTCGTTCGTAGCCCGGCCACCCTCAGCCCAGACTGCCCTCCCGGCCCAGCTATACGCCGTGCACCCCCAGCACCCCTGCTCGTTGCCGAACGAGCCCGCGCCCACTGCCCAAACCTGCCGCAGGGGCTCTGAACGCCTCCCACGTCACCCCAAACACCCCCGTCACCCCAAACGCCCCCACGCACACCACTGTGCACAGCCCGCGCGTCCTAAAGACTCCCCCATCACGCCCCCGTTCCCGAGCAGGCGCTCCCACCACCCCGCAGACCGCCCAAACGCAGCTCCCGCCCCGGGCACTCCCCGCCACCGGACACTGCCCCGCAGCGCCCAACCTCCCGCAACCTGCCCTCTCCCTGCTCTGCCACTCGCGGTGCAGACCCCGCCGCCCCCTTCCAGCCGCTCCTCGCCCCTGCACGGGGACACAAAGGGGTCCGTGCGCCCGCCGCCCGCCCGCTCACCCGCCGCCGCTCTCTGCCCTGCAGGCCGAGCCATGGTGGAGCCGCCGGCCGAGCCTCCCCCGCAGCCCTGCCCGGCGCCCGGGGGGGCGGCGGGAGGAGAGCCAGCCCGTCCCGGAGAGCAGTCGCCGCTGCTGCACCTGGATCTGTACAACTTCGACTGCGCGGCGGCGGAGGGCAGCCGGTACGTGCTGACCAGCCCGCGGTCGCTGGAGGCCTGCGCCCGCTGCGCCGTGCGGCCCGTGGAGCTGCTGCCGCGGGCGCTGGGGGACCTGCTGCGGGAGGCGCCCGGGCGCTCCATGCGGGTGGCTGCCGGCCTCTACGAGGCCTACGAACGGGAGCGCCGCCGCAAGCTGCAGCAGTGCCGGGAGGAGCGGGAGAGGATTATCCGGGAGGAGAAGAGGCGGATCCTCGCGCCCCTCGGAAGCCTGCCGCCCTCGCCCGCCGCCCGTGTCGCCTCCCGCGCTGCCGCCGCCGCTGCTGCTGCCGGCGGGCCCCAGACCCATGGCGGGGGGAAGACCAGGGCGTCGAGGGGTGCCAAGGGCAAGAGTCACTCCCTGGACTCGCTGCAGAAGCGCCGTGAGGGCAGCTGGGGCAAGACCTCTTCGGAGTCGGGGGCCTCGTCCTCCTACAGCGGGGAGAGCTTGCGGGAACGGGGGGGCAAGGTGGGCGGCCGGGGCCGGGGGGCAGCCACTGCCAGCGGGTCCTTTCTGGGGCGCAGCTTCAGCCTGGGTGATCTCAGCCACTCACCACAGACTGCCCAGAGGGTCGAGAGGATCGTCAGGGAGGTGAAGAGGAAGAAGGGCCTCTCGGAGGTGCCTGAAAGGGACAAGAAGATTGCGGCACTGATGATTGCCAAGCACCAGGAGGCCAACATCCTGCGGGAGCAGCGGCAGGCAGCCCATCTTCAGTGGGACAGTCAGCGGCGCCTGGCTGAGCAGCGTAAGGAGCAGGAAGAGAAGGAGAAGCAGAGGGCCCTCCTGCAGGGTCAGCGGATGTGGGAGAGCCAGGTGGAGAAGCGTCGTGGGAGGCTGTACCAGGAGCAGGAGGAAGCTGCCCTGCTGAAGCAGAGGCAGCGCCTCATGTGTGAGGAGAGGTGGCGGGAGCAAGCAGAGAAGCAGGAGCGGCTGCGGAGGGAGAGGCTGGAGAGGGCCATCCAGGAGGACAAGCAGAAGAAGCTCCATCAAGAGCTCAACCTGAAGGCAAAGGAGGAGGTCAAGAAGGAACACCAGGAGCGAGAGGAGCAGCTACTGCAAGAGAAGCTGTCCACAGCTGCACAGAAGAGGCTGAAGAAGGAGGTGCAGCTGCAGAAGGAGAAGAGACTGTTCAACCAAGCAGAGAAGCTGAAGCACGAGGCCTTGCTCAAGGAATTGGCCAAGCAAGAGGCAGAAGAGAAAGAAATGCTGAAGGCCTCCCTGAAGATGAGTTTGACGAAGGCTCAGGAGAACTATGAGCAGCTAGTGGAGAAGAGAAACCAGGAGCTGAGGGAGAAGGCCAGGCGTGAGGACATGCAAATCCAGAGAGCTAAACTGGCAGCAGAGAAGAAGGAAAGAGAGCAGAAGGAGCACTTGGAGGCACTGGCTAGAGAGACAGAGAGAAAGCTCCAGCATGCTGCCCAGGTGGCTGAAGAGGCCGTTCAGGAAAAAGCTCGCAAGGTAGTCTTGAGTCGTCTGGAGAAGGAAAAAGTGCAGAAGATGAACAAACAAAAGGTGGAACAGTATGAAGACTTACGACGCAGGGAAATCCTCCTCTCTATAGAGAGGAAGCTGGAGAGAAGCGAGCAGATCTTCAAGGAGAAGAAGACTGTCTTAGAAAATGCCAGATCCGTCGCTCGGGCATCCTTCCACGTCCGGGAAAAAGTACGGGAGGAAACAAACATGCGCACCTTTGACAAGATGGCCTTTGAAGCAGAACTGCATGCTCACCTTAACAAGAAATGAAAGATCTTGTCATGGATGAGTGGGGGTACACCACTGTTTGTCCATTGTAATGGATCAGAAAGCTCCTCCACACAAACATTTGAAAAACAACAACAATCAAAATCCACCCTAATTTCTTATTCTGGGGGAGCAGGGTACCGCACAAAATTGTGGCAGCTATTTCACATACTGTTTTAAATACATTTTTTGTTCTGGGTGTGTTTTAAGGACTGACCTCAGTCATCTTTCCAGAGGGGAAGCAAGTTTTTGTGTCCTCCACCCCACAAGCACACACAATTTTTCAGAAAGGGCTGCAGAAGAAGTCTGCTTGAAGCCTGTGAGTACTGATGGGTTGTTTACACCGGAGATGACTACAGCTGCATTCTTTTCAGTTTGCAATGCAGACAACAGAGGCAATTAACTATTAGAGCCTACTAAGTAAGAACCAAAACCGTCTGAGCTGATTCTGCCTTGAGTGACAGGCAGAATGGTCACTTGGTTTAAGTTATGGGACTGCATTTTCAAAGCTGCTGCACTTCCATGCTGAAGATGAGGAAAGCTGGAGTACAGAATTCCATATGCCCCGGGTGCCCCTTGCCCACTGCTGGTACCAAGTTAGAGAAAGCACAGATCAAGGCCATGTAAGTAGACATTATGATCAGAGCTGGGCAAAAGCTGTTAGTGCTCACAAACACAGTTTCATTTTTGCTGTTTGTAATTGTTGCCCCTCCCAAGCATCCCCGCCTCTCCTTCTCCTTTTCAAGTTTCTCTTACAAACATCTGTAGAATTTCTTCTTTTCTTTTGGAAGAAGGGGAGAAGGAGAGAAAATTGTGGGTGAGTCATAAACTGATGGGCACCCACATAGCACACTTGTTCATTATGATATAAAAATGAGTGAACCTGTGAAATCTGGACTTAGGGGGAAATATGGGGATCAATTGTAAATGGAAATCTGTGATTGCATAGATTGCATAGAGAAATCACCCTTGGGAATTTTTAAAATTCAAGGAGACTCTCAGCCCCTTAGCCAGTTGGGCCCGCCTTGAGGAAGATGTTGGACCAAATGTCCTCCAGAGTTCCTTTCCAGCTTAATTGTTCTATGAGCTGCATACGAGACATTCACCCAGCTCTTATCATCGTCTACTGAGTAGAGGAGCATTTCTCTGCCCACTGGTGCTAACAGTTGTTTTCTCATATAGGGCACAAGAAAGAGTAAATGCAGAAAATGAGGTACATTACAGATTCTTTTAGATGAGGATCATGTCTTTTTTATAACTCTTAATACTGTTTAGAGGAACTGAGTCCTGCCATTAAATACACTGGAAATGTGAAAAGCTTACCTATACCCCATGCACAGTGTTCAAGTAAGACAGTGTTCTGCTGCAGGTTTCCACATTTACTCTCTGTTGGGTTGGAGTTACAAGCACAAATTCAAAGCAGGCACTTTCTGCTGTTTTTTTCTGGCTGCTGACAGCATCAGCTCTCTGTTCCACCATCCGTGACGCCATGCTGGGTTGCTCTGGTGACGGCAGCCAGACCTGGAGCATGGAGGAGAAGCAGCAAGAACAGACAGGATCTTGTTTCCTTGTGGATGTCTCTTACATACCACACAGTAGAAGAGAAAACCAGGAGAAGGTTGACATGTGGAACAGACATGCAGTCCCACACGCATAGATTGCTTACCAGAATTTCCCAGAAGATGACAGCAGGTCAAAACCCTCTTAGAAGACTTTAAGGAAGGTGTTAAATGAACAGCAACAACAACAATAGACCAAGCACACCCTGGTGCCCTGCAAGGCTGGAGACATTATATGAACAGTGTTGAAAATGGAGCAAGTAGGGACTTATTTTTTTTTTATTTTAAAGGAACTTGCTCTTCTTTGAATCATGGTACAATTGGAAGTGTTAAGGGCAGGCAGCATGAAAGTAGGAATTAGGGCTCCTGAGTGATGTTTGCTATGTCAGCCATTGGCTCACTGTGTAATACCAGGCAAGTCCTCAGGGGCTGGGCTTGCCCCTATTAATATAAATGGAAGCAGAGTTGGGCTCTTGGGGTTGCTGGGACTTACAGGAAATAGTAACACTTGGCTTGGCAAAGCACTTCAAAGACTTTGGATGAATGATGGTAACAAAGCACAAAGATTTATTTATTTATTTATTTATTTATTTATTTATTTATTTATTTATT